TGGTAGTAGAAGTAGTAGTATCACCATAAAACTACCCTGATCCACCTCCATACCTCCAGATGAGAAGTAAAGATGAACCTATGGAAAGCTCCTACCCCATCGCATGGGACAGTGTACTGACCAATAACTGGTGAAGTTGTTTTGCTTTGTTGCATAAAAACACTAAGGTCACATGGAGCATGGGGGAGGGGGGTTAGGGAATAGATTGATGTTGTACAAATAGAACCCAATCCTATGTTGGGGTGATGGTGGCACAGGAGTTAAATAAGTAAAGGAGTAAGTACATTTTATTTATATGGCACTCATCACTGGCATAGAATCACAAAGTGCCAGAGGTATGACCAACTTTGTGAGTCACAAGTGAGTCACAAGTCTTCCAGTCAAGCCTCGAGTCAAGTCCAAGTCGAGTCCAAGGTCAATGATCTGGAAGTCCAAGTCAAGTCCAAGTCCTTAACTTTGAATTTTCAAGTCATAATCAAGTCATCTGTCCAACTTCAATTTAATGACAATGATAATAAATACATTCCAGAAATAAAGCTTCTTAAAGCTTCGTTTATTTGTGCTGCTGCATATAGCAGAACAAGATCAAACCCAAAATGTAGAATGATTTATGATTTCTGTCAATGTCATGCCACTTTTGTGCTAAAATATCAAATGTAATCAAGTCATCATCAAGTCAACAGATGCAAGTCGATTCAAGTCGCAATTCATTGGCGTTCGAGTCCGAGTCAAGTCATAAGTCTTTATAGATTTTATCAAGTCAAGTCAGAAGTTATTAAAATAATGACTCAAGTCTGACTTGAGTCCAAGTCATGTGACTCGAGTCCACACCTCTGCAATGTGCTTTACAAATTCAATTCAATTCAATTTTATTTATATAGCGCCAAATCACAACAAGAGTCATCTCAAGGCACTTCACATAATAAACATTCCAGTCCAGGTCAGTTCATTAAGTCAATCAGAAAAAATGTTTCCTATATAAGGAACCCAGCAAATTGCATCAAGTCAACTACAGCAATCCTCATACTAAGCAAGCATGCTGCAACAGTGGAGAGGAAAACTCCCTTTTACACGAAGAAACCTCCAGAGGATCCTGGCTCAGTATAGGCAGCCATCCACCACGACTCACTGGGGATCGAGAAGACAGAGCGCACACACACACACACACACACACACACACACACACACACACACCAAGCAATGTGTCTTTGGTCACATTGTGATTTCTTAGTAAATATTCTATTTGGCAAGCGATAAACTTTATTGTATAACGGGTAAACTAGTAGTAGCACATCCAGTGTCAAGGAAAGCAAAATGTTGTTATCAGGAGAGGGAGAATGTTTTAGTGGTTAGCAGCAGTGTGCTACACGATGGCCCCCTCCATGAGGCCACCACAGCTCAGCAGAACATCATTGTAGCTTCTTCTGGGGAGAAAAACACTTAAAGAGAAAATAAAGTTAGCTGAAATTGCAGAAAATAGTACAGTTAAGGAGCAGATTGTAGAAGTAAGTAGGAGAGTGTGAAAAGTGGTCAGTGTACCCTCCAGCAGACTACGCCTATAGCAGCATATCTACAGAGATAACTCTGGATAACCTAGCCTTTTTAGATGGAGGCATGTTGGAGGCAGGGCAAGGGAGAGCCGTCTTTACCGACTGTACACTCCACCTCCCTGTACTCCCCCACTTGTCCAGATTTAGGCTAACATCAGATTTTAACCATAGGCCCTATCAAATAACAATGTTTTAAGCCTATTCTTAAAAGTAGACAAGGTGTCTGCCTCACAGACTAAAGCTGGGAGCTGCCTCCACAGGAGAGGTGCCTGATAACTAAAAGATCTGCCTCCCATCCTAATTTTAGATATTCTGGGAACCACCAGTAAACCTGCAGTCTGAGAGCGAAGTGCTCGGTTAGGATCTTATGGAACAATCAGATTACTGATGTATGATGGAGCTTGATTATTAAGAGCTTTATATGTGAGAAGGAGGATCTTAAAATCTATTCTGAATTTAACAGGTAGCCAATGTAGGGAAGCTAAGACAGGAGAGATCTCTCTTTTTAATTCTCATCAGAACTCTAGCTGCAGCATTTTGGACAAGCTGAAGACTTTTAACTACATTCTGTGGACTTTCTGAGAGTAATGAATTACAGTAATCCAGTCTTGATGTAGTAAATGCATGAACTAGTTTTTCAGCATCACTCTTGGAAAGGATGCTTCTAATCTTAGCAATATTCCGAAGGTTCATCAGGGTTAATGGATAATTATAACTGAGTATCGTCAGCATAACAGTGGAAGTTTATCCCATGCTGTCTAATGATTTTACCAATTGGGAGCATATTTATAGTAAAAAGAATTGTTCCAAGCACTGAACCCTGTGGTACTCCACAAGTAACCCAGGAGTATGAAGATTTGTCATGTACATTTACAAAATGAAAACTATCAGACAGGTAGGATTTAAACCAGCCTAGCGCTGTTCCTTTGATCCCTACAACAGGTTCAAGTCTTTCTACAAGAACATTGCGATCAACTGTGTCAAAGGCAGCACTGAGATCTAACAAGACAAGAACAGACACAAGATTCTTATCTGAGGCCATGAGAATATCATTTGTAACTCTCACTAATGCAGTTTCAGTGCTGTGATACTCTCTAAAACCAGACTGAAATTCCTCAAACAGAGCATTAGTGTTTAAATGCTCACATACTTGGATGGCCACTATTTTCTCCAGGACTTTGGATAAAAATGGAAGGTTAGATACTGGTCTATGATTCATTGGGTCATCTGGATCCAGAGAAGGCTTCTTAAGTGAAGGTTTGATTACAGCAACCTTAAAATCCTGTGGTAGATATCCATTTACTGAGGATAGATTGATTACATCTAGAATGGGGGCAGTAACCAAAGGAAATGCTTATTTAAATAATTTGGTTGGGATTGGATCTAAAATGCAAGTGGAAGGTTTAGATGAAGCTAATATTTTTGATAACTCTGAAAACTCAACTGGATCAAAACGGTTCAAACACAGATGAGGTTCTACAGTTACCTCTGATGCTGCCTCACTTACTGAGGAAGAAGAAATCGCATTAGGGAGGATGCTAAGTCGTTTCTAATGAGGGCTAAGGGAATAGATGGTTCAGAGCTATGATTCTGTGTAAGTTTGGCAACTGTACTGAAAAGAATTTTAGAATTATTCTTATTCTCCTCAATTACTGCTGAGAAACAAGCAGTTCTAGTTTGTCAAAGCTTATTTTTATAAAGCACAAGACTATTCTTCCAGGATAAGGACAAAGATCAAAACAAAATTAAACAAAATGATCTCAGAACACAAATAGATTAATGTCAGAAAAAATAAAGTCATAAAATTATAAAATTTCATAGACGGATGAAAGATGATTACACATTTGAGTTAAAATAAGAAAACAAATTATTTGTTTAAACGCAGCTTTAAATAAAACGTTTAAAGTTAAAAAAAAAGTTAATTGCTCTCCCCGTAATCGGAAGGTTGCAGGTTCAAACCCCGCTCAGTTTGTTGCTGTCGTTGTGTCCTTGGACAAGACACTAAGTTATCTCCCCTTGCCTGCTGGTGGTGGTCAGAGGGGCCAGTGGTGCCAGTACTCGGCAGCCTCGCCTCTGCCAGGGCAGCTGTGGCTACATCGTAGCTCACCCCCACCAGCATGTGAATGTGTGTGTGAATGGATGAATGGGTGAATGACTAATTGTATTGTAAAGCACCTTGGGGGGTTCCAGGACTCTAGAAGGTGCTACATCAAATACACGCCATTTGCCATTTATGTTTAGCAATGCGGTGAGCCTCTTCTGGGTGGGATGCACCTGAAACGTTCCACACCGTGACCAGTTTGTAACGACCCATAGACTCTAATGGATTATATTTGCAGCAACAACGTTCCGCTGCTGCTCCGCGCCTCTGGTGCCTCCAGTGTGAAGTCGGGGTCATGGGTCAACTAATGTTCCTCACATACGCTTTAGTGTTCAAATTTTAAAGAAAAAAAATTTTGTGACTTACAGCTGGTTTACTGAAACAGTGTTTATAAGTTTTGAATTTTGTTTATTGTGAATAAAATGAATGTTAAACAATGTCTGTTTGTGAGTAGTTTACTTTTACATAGTAAATAATAATCTAAGTAATACCATAGATTAATTACTTTGCTTGTTATGTTTATAATTGATATTCATGTCATGATTAAGGGCTAAACTGTATTGTCGGTTGTGGCAGCGCATGCATCTTAATGAGTGAGATATTTGGCTTTGTATCAAGATACTAGAGTAAGCTACAGACTAGAGATGGACAACGCTATGGAACAGGTCTATGTGACACACAGACCCCCGCTTCCTCAACATAACTGTCATCCACAACCCATCAGTGCTTTTGTTGGCCTCCTGTTTCTAATCAGCCTTGGGTAGGTGGTCATAAAATAATGACTGATTAGTCTGGATCTTCATGTGCCACAGATGTGTTGTATTTCGGGACTGAAAATAGCTTTTTATTTTACGTATTTCTTTATGTATTTGTGGAATTGGACATATTTTCAGGATTATGATCATTATATCAATTAAAATGTTTAAGAAAAACATCAAAAGCCCGGAGCACTCAGGTGAGATACGGTTTATTATTATTTAGATAGTGTTGTATTTCGGGACTGAAAATAGCTTTTTATTTTACGTATTTCTTTATGTATTTGTGGAATTGGACATATTTTCAGGATTATGATCATTATATCAATTAAAATGTTTAAGAAAAACATCAAAAGCCCGGAGCACTCAGGTGAGATACGGTTTATTATTATTTAGATAGATAGATAGATAGATAGATAGATAGATAGATAGATAGATAGATAGATAGATAGATAGATAGATAGATAGATAGATAGATAGATAGATAGATAGATAGATAGATAGATAGATAGATAGATAGATAGATAGATAGATAGATAGATAGATAGATAGATAGATAGATAGATAGATAGATAGATAGATAGATAGAACAGTTAGAATCTAACTTTGTTTTCTTTCAACTTCTAGTTCTTTTGCACTTTTTGAAAGTAAACTTCCCTGTTGGTCAGATGCATGAATCAGCTGATTGCTTTGCCACCATGAAGGCCTGGAAAATATTTCTATTTTTCTTCATTTTGTCCCAGAGTTCAACACTAGAAGAGGACACAGGTGAGAGTCGCACCAAACTAACAGAAAGGAGTTTTTCAGAATTCCTGGCTCACGCTGCTCTCTGTCATGCAACGTGTAATATTCAGTTTCTGTCATCTTTGCAACTGCTGAAGCAAATGTGACAGTTTCACACCCCAAAAGCAGCGCTTGCTAATTGAAAGCACCAAGTGTGCTGTTAAAAAGTGTTTTGTTTAGTCATCAGCACCATGATTCATTACCTGAAATTAACTGTGTGATTCTACAACATAGTCTCACCCGTGAGTGATGGAGGAGTACACAACATGCATTCCTGTTGTTCATCTTTCTGCTTTCACTAGTCAGTATTTTGGCTCCTTAGTGGCAGCAGACATCAGTAGACATCAGCTGAAACGTTTAGAGGAGATGCTGACAGCCAAGGAGTGTGAGGACCTCCTGTCTCTCCTGTCCAGCCCAGAAGAGAACATCTTCCAGCATATCGATCGACTCTCACCAGAAAATAACCAACTAGATGTCCGACTTCGAGCTAAGAGACATGTCTTCTCCTCTGCTGCAGGTTAGGGTTACTTATCAGAAACCTTTGTTGGAAACACAGAAAGTCCACATAAGGACAAAAAAAAACACACAACTCATGGAATTCTTACATGCAAGTCAATCACACCCAAAGGGTCAAAGTTCACAGGGACATTATCACATTTTAACTAAACTCACAGAAAGTAACCAGCGTAAGTCCATCTACAAGTAATTAACAATTGGATTCAGTCAATTCAAGATGGCTGCCACAACTAACAAAAATTATGGCTAAAGCTCAGTCCTGTCATTTGATGTGTTAGTAGCTGGTGCAGCGCACCAGGCTAAAGGTCAAAGGTGACAGATCATCTGCTGCTGTGGCCCCCAGACTCTGGAACTCTCTCCCCCTGAGCCTGAGATCAGTGGACTCAGTGGTCTCCTTTAAAAAGCAGCTGAAGACTCACTTGTTCAAGCTGGCCTTTGTATGACCTTCTTCACCTCTCCTTGTTCTGCTCTCCCCACCTATCCCACCTTCCTCAGGATCCACTGATTTCCCTCTTTCCTGTTCACTCTCTCTCTTTCTTAACATTTTTTTTATCAAAATTGCCTATTTTTGCTCATTTTATTATATTTTTAAACATTTTCTAAATGCTTTTTTATATTTTCACATTTTTTGTTTTTGTGAAGCGCCTCGTGATTTTAATCTTGAGAGGCGCTATAGAAATAATGTTTTCTTCTTCTTCTTCTTCTTCTTCTTCTTCTTCTTCTTCTTCTTCTTCTTCTTCTTCTTCTTCTTCTTCTTCTGATGATGATGATGATCATTGTTGGTTAAAACCAAGTAAATAGAAATATTTCCTCAGAGCCTCACCGGAACTGCTTGGTTCAGGAGGTAAAAGTCCACCCTGAGGCCACACGTCCACCTCAACACTGAGTTTGACCGTCAGAGACCTGCTGTTCTGAAAGGCGTGTGTTTTCTGCCATGTAGACGGTGAGACGCAGTGCCACACGGCCCTGACAGACTGGCTGCTGAAGTACGGAGAGAAGACCTACTACGACAGGCTTTCTCGCGCCTTGCAGCACATCGGCAGGACAGACATCGCCATTGGTGAGAAATCAGCAGAGAGAAGACATGCACCTTGCAGAGATGAATGATTTGTTTCCAATAGAAGCATTTTTTACGTAGCTGCTTCATGCATGCTGCAAATCCCTGTGAGGATACCTCACAGCGCGTCCCTCAACGGAAAGGAACTCTGAATTTAAACACAAACATGTAATTTCTTCATCACTTTGATATTTGTTTTAATCGGAGCTTCAAAAATCACACAGTTTGCACCCTGCCAGTCTCTGGTGCGTGCTGCAGTCCAGCGTGCACACAACTCTGCAGCCGAGCGGCGTTGGATAGGAGGAGGTGTAAATGATCTGACAGAGGAATCAGTGGAGCTGACACCAGCCAGACAACCAACCATCTGCTCCTTTCATCAGCAGCTTTGGAGTTTAAAAAAAAACATGAAAAAAGGGACTAGGAGAGTGTGAGAGGAAGAGTCGAAGACGAGGCTCGGAGCATTAGTGGCTCTGATGTGGATCACTGTGATGTAGAATGTAGCAATTATAGCTCTTGATTGCAGTTCTGAGCCGATCTATTCTTACATGCTAACTTGAAAGGGTTTGTTTTGTTCGGCTCTGCTGGAAACAATTATGTCCTGAGTGAGAATCAACAGTTAAATCAGCGTTAACAAGCTTTCTAAGGGTGTGCTGTGGTGTCTCTGTTCTTTTGTTGCAGAAGTGGGGAAGAACATCAACCAGGACAAAACCTTGAGCCTGAAACGCTACGTTGAGGACTACCACACATATGTGAACTCTTTAAACCTCCAGTCGGAGAATACGGACTCAAAGAAACGCCAGCGCGAACGTCGAATCGAGAAATTAAAACGTAAGATCATTTATCAAAAGCACCACTTCAGAGTGGAACATGAAAAGTGAAATGGTGTCCGTGTATGAGCAGAAATCTCTCTAGGTATCGATGCCGAGAGGGGATTTTTTTAGGTTGCTCCTCTTGAGATTGTCTGAATGACAAATGGTGTAATGTTTCCATGAACCCTGAATCTATTGAGTGTTTAGATGAGATGCTGGATTAGATGTGGTGGCTGCGGGCACACTTCCAACTCATTACTGCTCAACATCAACACTCTCACTACACAAAGAATATTTCCCAAGGCAGTTACAGACTCAAAAATGTAATTATCACCTGTCTATTTATTTACTCCCCTGAGTCCTTTCCTCAAGTTAAAACTTGACAAAAATGCTCCCATCCCTCTGTGTGATGGTAAATGTGTTTGTGTTCTGTGTTTAGTGAGGGATCTGACGTGGCGGGACCTGGATCTGATCGTAGAGCGAGCTCCGGTCCCACTGTACCCCAAGGGGCCTTGGGACGTGGCCGGGCCACTTTTCTACGGCGTCCTGCTGGGATTCGGAGGAACCCTGCTCGCATGTGTGTTTCTGTTTCTTCTCATCGCTCACCTTCCTCAAAGAGAGCAGCAGTGCAGTCGCCCCAGCGGGAGGAAGCTGGGGGACAGGGAGATGGGTGACGAAGCTTCCGGGATGTAAATGAGTCTTAAACGTTCATTCATTTCAATTTCAGAAAATAAAAAAGCATAAAACCGACATTTAAATGCTCTTTTGAACGTTCGTTATGTGCGTCACTTCATACTTCATTACTTTGTTCTTTTTTTTAATAGTTTAGTAAAAAAATAGTTTTTTACCTGACATGTTTCAGCTAATGCCTCTAGTCATCATCAGAGATTGTGTTTCTGTGTTTAAGGTCCTTGTGCTGTCCCAGTCCAGTGCATGGTTTTCTCTTGTGCAGTGGTCTGTTGCAGCTGATTTCTTTATTGTATTTTTATTGTAAAATACAATAGATGGATCAAAGAAGAGATAGAAGTAAGGAGACGTGGACACAAAACCATGAACAGAGACGATGAAGTATTCACAATGGATCACACATGGCAGTGGTTCCTAACCTGGGGGTCCCGACCCCCACATGGGGGCGCCAAAGCCTCTCAGTGGGTCGCCAGGACCTCTCCAATTTAAGGGGTTTGAAACTTCATTTATTACTTGTTTATAGTCTACATTTTGCTCACATTTTTTTTTCATGAGTGAAAAGTTTACTGATATTAAGACAGGAAATAATTAGTACAGAAAGAGTAACACACTTTTAAGAACATTTTGCTCAGCTCACTGTTTTATTTTCAAGTGTCAAAAGTTCATTAAAGATAGGACTGGTTGATTAATCACAGCCTTTACAGTAAATAATCTAGTATAAACAGTAATATACACATTTAAGTACATTTTGCTCAGTGTATTTTTTATGTGTCAAACGTTTATTGAAAGGAATGATTGATTTATCAGTGTTTACAAGAAACAATGTGTTCAGAAAAGTTATACAAACTGTCAAGCACATTATGCTTTGATTGGTTTTGTTAATGACTTTGTTCTGTACTGGAGCCTACTATTACTGTTATCTATTGAATCAAAGCATATTAAAATGTGCTTGAACAATTTTATCATTTCTTACAGTACTGTTTGTACTGGAAGAGAGAATGGGAGGGGGTCGTCAAAAATTTTACTGGTAAAAAACGGGGTACCTTGGGAAAAAGGTTGGGAACCACTGACACATGGGACTATGTCTTCAGCAAGGAGGACACGGGCAGCAGAGGGCGACATCATCCTCTGCTGCCCCGCGGATAAATGGAAGCGATGCCACCAACAGCGGCAATCTCTGATGATGACTAGAGGCATCAGCCGAAACATGTCAGGTAAAAAACTATTTTTTACTGAGCTGTTTTTAAAAAGTACAAAGTAATAGACATTTAAAGGATTTTTTAAAGTCAATGGTCCAATTTTTCTTTTTTAAAACATTTCAATAATAGCTGTGAGGTGACGAGCAGGCAAATATATTTTTGCTTATGTCTACTTAAATCTCTATTAATGAATCTTTCAGTCTTTCAATCAATCAATCAATTTTATTTATATAGCACTTAATCCTGCAATACATGCAACTCAAAGTGCTTAAAAAATTAAAAAGGCCCCACATACCCACATTCCCTCCCATCCCCAGAATTTTTAATACAGTCTCACAATAAAAACCCCTTCACAACACTCCTCCACCCACACACACACACATACACACATACATACATGCCCCCTTCCCCATGGTAAAAAAAAATACACGATTGGCTGAGATCAGATGAGCCAGACCAGCTAAGTAAGGATAAGGAAACGCCATCAGGGGAGCCATCCGCCCCGACAGCAGCAGATCCACAGCAGCAGCCGAGACACTGACACCGGGCGTCCAGGGCAGGGAGGGCAGAGACCCCCACCACCACCCAGGCACACACAGAACCCACCCAGGCCGCCACAGCCGACCACCGCCGCCGGGGCAGAGGGCTCCCACAGAGGAAGCACTGGAAAACGGTTAAATTAAGGTTAAAATATAAAATCCAAAGAGCTAAAATGATCATCATGCTTTATTTATATAGTGCTTTCCACCACCTTAAAAAGGGGGCCCAAGACAGGAAAAGTAACAATGATAAAAGTAGCTGTGGGAGCTAAAAGCAGTGTTTTGTGTACGTGCATGTTGACATGTTGCTTATCAATACCAGCCGCATACGTGCTGTGCAACTTCTTGTTATCAGGCAGCCCAGCTGCTGAGTACATGCTCCACAACATGTTGTTCAGTCCAGCTTATGTAAGTCTAAACTACTTTTGACCATATTAGGAGGTGGAAGTAGCACCCCATCATTTCCCAGAATCAAAGGGAGGTGGGGGTGAAGAGTATATGATGCTGCGTGGTGTAGGAGAAAGTGGGCTTTTGCAGAAGGATCTCCAGCTGAGGTGTTTAGATCGAAGCTGGACGCTGTCCCCATGAAGTGTTGGTGATGTATGGAAGAGGTGTGTAAATAAACGCCCCACGCTGAGTTTGGACAAAACTGTCTCTCTCTTGTTTTTGATAAGGAAAAAGAACCACATAGCAAGTCATAAAAACATTCAAAACAAAATAAGAACAACAACATTAGTGGGAACAATAAAATGCAAATGAGACGACTTCAGATAAAAGACAATTAAAATTAAGTAGTCCGCAGGGGTGGGCAATTCCGATCCTTGAGGCCCTCTATCCAGCATGTTTTAGTTGTGTCCCTGTTCCAACACATTTAATTCAATGGTCGTATAACCTGCAGCAGGTCATCAAGTTATGTAGAAGCCTTTCAATAACCTGTTGGTCAAAATTAGGTGGGTTAAAACAACTAAAACACGCTGGATAGCGGCCCTCTAGGACCTTGATTGCCCACCCCACTCTACCAATTCAACCTATGTGCAAATCAAAAAATGGCTGTCATTACTAACAAAACTGGCTGAAATGCAGAAAACGTTACAGATTTTAAGGTATCATTTCATTATAACCACAAAAGTGTCAGATCTTTTGAAGTGTGTTTTTGTTAAAGGGGTTTTGGACAATCAGCATCTAATGTGATTTAGGTAGCTGGTTGAGAGAAAGAGAGATAGGATCTGACCAGATTGTTGTGCTGGTCTGACTGGGACCAGTTACTACTTTAAAATATGTTACAGTTCATGCAAATGTTTTTTTTTCTTTAATTCATTGTAAACACCATCACTTTAATGTCTAAACTCATCTCAATAAAATGTATTCACAGGGGTAAATAAATTGTAGGTTTAGGGTAATGGGTTGTGGATATTTCAGCCATGAGGATATTTTCTCTGACATCAACATCCATCCAAGTTCTACACCCGCTTGTCCATGCAGGGATGCAGGGGGGCTGGTACCTATCTCCAGCAGTTGTAATAAACATTAATATTAAATGTGCGTCTATCCAAAGGTTTGTTACTTGCATTTTGCATAAATTGCTATTTGATAATTAATGACACATTTTGAAATTGCAATTGTTTTAAATCACTGTAATTTTATTATTTATTTATTGTTGTGGCTACTGTTTGATCAGATCTCATCTTTGTTTCACCAAACTGAAGCTTCTTAAAGAGCAAGTCACTCCAAATCAACATTTTTTTTGCTGATAAGCTATATAAATGAGTGTCTGATCGTGCTGCAGACACGTGTAGTCAATAATTCGGCACTTTAGTGCATCTTAGTTAAAATTTAAATATTCTGCCTAAAATTGTCAGTGTTGCACCGTCGTCAGGTAAAAACACAGCACTGCGTTTGAATTTAAATCTGCCGTCGCTATTGGCTAAGAGGTACACTTTTACACTTTGATGTTAAATGGTACATTATGATGTCACAATGTCGTGAGTGTGTGTATTTGTTAGCGGCTCCACCCTCTCTGTCTGCTAGGCAACAGCATTTGTTGCATTTTTCAAACAGGAAGTGGGAATTGAGTAAGAGTCTGGTAGGGGGTAACTTGCTCTTTAAAGAGCTACAACAGGTAAGGTCTCGATCCTAACTTTGTCACGGAGAAACGGGAACTCAAACATGGCTTTGATTCATTATTTTAATGCATTAATTCACAACACACACACACAGAGAGAGAACAAAAGGGCATTTTCACAATATTGTGTGAGATTGCACAAAAGACCATTTATTCAAAAAGACAAACTCCATCATTTCTTAGCATGTTTAAAACTTTTGAGACATGAATTCCTTCAGGGATGTTCCGACCTTTAATTCCAGAAAAGGTTTACAGAAACCACTCTCTGTTCAAAACGTTCTCTACTACACCAGTCCTGTTAACAAATATGGCAGTAACAGTGTCCTTTCCTATAAAATCGTTATCCATGCTGTGTATTTTAGGCTAGTGGGCACTGTTGGCTTGCCAGACGGTTTATGACTGGTAGCGTGACAGATGCACTGGAACAGAGCCCTCACAACAAAGGTTGTTCCACTGTTGCTCTGATAGCGATGCCACTTTCCATTTCCCCTTTAAGTGACGGCAACGTGCCCGTCTGGCATCGAAGAACAACTAATTATCCAGCCTGGCGCCTGCTTACCCCGGAGCCTGCCGATACCTCCGCAGGCAATCCAAAGGACTAATAACAATGACAATACCAGCAGACAATAGAGCGCTCTTGATTGTGGTGGCAGCGTCTGCTGGGCATAGAAAACCAAACAGAAAGCACAGGGCTGTATATTTAGATATGCAAAAGGGGAAATTTTAAATAAATTGACATTTAAGATGATCTAGAAAAACAGAAAAAGAACATTGGCACCAAAAACTAAAGAAAACCGAAAACGGACTTTACTGACATGTTGACGTTTCCATTAAAAATCATTTCTCCACAACAGGAATTTCTCCCGCATCCTCTGCTGAGGCAAACTCTTTCACAGCAGCAACAGAGAAATTGTGCTCATGGTTCTTGAGCTTTCTTTCCTCTTGTTCCCAGTTTCTTTCACCAGTCCTACTTTCTTCATCATAATTGAGCTAATTACTTCATTATACAACTCTGGCCTAATGTGCTTCAAGGGGCCGACAGCTTGGATTAACAGTGGCACTGAGCAGCAATTACAGTCTATTAGTTCATAAATCAACATTTAAACAAATTATAGAGCCAATAACTGCATGAGCATAGCTCTGAAACATCAAAAGGGCATGGGGTCTTACTTGTTATTGAAGCAGTGAGCTAAATAATGTTAG